GAATTACAAGTTTTCATTAAAGCATCTTTATAAGATAACTTTAACGAATCCTTATAATTTCTTGGGTCTTCAAGGAGTTTCCCTGTCTCGGCTGAGTCTTTTTCGCGGAGTTATATTTTTCCTCTGCGATTTTCTCTGGCAATGACTGGTCGTGGGGTGGAGATTTTCCCCCATCATTTCCTCCTCGCGTCGAATCAGCTTCGTCGAAGTTGATTTTTCCGGAATCCCGCGGCCGCTTCCGGATCTTTAATTTTTCGCCAGCTAGATCCGCAATCACTGGCGAGTCCCGTTTTTTGGCTTTTGATTGGCCGAAGGATTTCCGCCACTGTTGCGTGCCCGATACTCTGCGCGTGAGGCTTTCATTTTGTTGCAGTCGAAGATTCGATGACCAGGCACCCCGCAAAAATCACACGTGTAGTTGGTTTTTTCGGATGTGGCCGCCCTTCGAATCTGTCGACTTCCATCGGGTCGGCGAACGTGGGGTGAGCCGAGCGGTCGCCCTGTCGCGTACTGCCGACGTGCGTCTGTCGTGTCCCGGCGTTGACCATGTCAAAGCGCTCCGCGGCCGATACGACGTCACTGTAGCTCGCGTAGTTTGTCTCTGCCACTTGTCGTTTGACTTCGGTCTTCAGCCCGGCGAGGTACGACTGTACTTTTTCCCCTTCGGTCAGGTCGGGAATACGGTTTTAAAATTCCTCCATCTGCTGCGTGTACTGTGCTACACTCCGGAACTGTCGATGGCGATGAATTTTTTCCAGGGCAAGGAAACTCGAATTTATCGGCTCGAATCGTTTCAGCAGGTCGGTGCGGAATTGCTGCCACGTGGCTTCACCGTGGATGAAGGTAATGTTGCCACCAATCCACTCGAGTGACGGCCCTCGCATCAGTGTCGCCGTGAGTCGTACGCGTTGCGAAGTAGATCTCTATGCCGGTGATCCATCTGCGGACGTCGGAGTTTCGATCGCTCGGATCGAACGGCTCAGGTGGGCGCGGTTTTGGAGCCTCGAGAAACTGCTGCGTCGTCGCCGTTGTCGAGTCGTGCTGCGCTCTGGCGAGTCGAGTTACTCGCTCGAACCCGTTTCGCCACGCTTTGCGATCCGCTCGCACTTCCTCCTGAAGAGCTGCGATGCGCGCGAAGAGCTGTTAGGTAACCTCGGCGTTGTCGAGGTTCGCCATCCTGTTCAAAAACACGCGCTGAGGGGGTTATTCGAAAAAACGCGGAGCTGGTGCTTACCAGAATCGGCGTCAAATTTGTTGCCCCCGACGGTTTTTCGAGGCCGGATCCCCGCTGCTGCTTAGTTGAGCGCGGCCGAGTGAAAAAAGCTCTGATTACCAAGTGTTACAGGATCGAATGACTCGAGGAAAGGTTGCACTATCGCTGAGTACAAGGCGCTTTTATACTTCCAGAGTACATCAGGTAACCAGGTTTATCCTATCATAAGGGAATAGACCCTTTTAGAAGATAGAATCACCCTGCGTATAGCCACGCGATGCTATTGGCTTTAAGGGATTACGGCAGGATTACGCCGGATAGCGCACCAGTACATCCCAAGCCTGGTCGGTGATATAATTATAATAGCAGGATAAACCAAAGGTTAATGGAAAATGGAGAATAGGAAACCAAATGAGATGAGATAAAAAGAGAAATGAAAGAGAAAGGAAATAAGAAAAGGGACAAGTGGTGTAACGGGGTCGTACTCTCACACCTGTGACACTTGGTAATCTGAGCTTTTCTCACTCGGCCGCGCTCAACAAAGCAGCAACAGCGGGAAAACCTGCCTCGAAAAACCGGCTGGGGCGACCAATTCGACGTCGATTCTGGTAAGCACCAGCTCCGTGTTTTTTCGAATCACCCCCCACCCCCCGCGCGTGTTTTGAACAGGATGGCAACCTTCGACAACGCCGAGGTTACCCAACAGCTCTTCGCGCGCATCGCAACCCTTCAGGAGGAGATGCGAGCGGATCGCGAAGCGTGGCGAAACGAGTTGGAGCGAGTAACTCGACTCACCGGAGCGCAGCACGACTCGACAACGGCGACGACGCAGCAGTCGCAGCAGTTTCTCAAGGCTCCGAAACCACGCCCACCTGAGCCGTTCGATTCGAGCGATCGAAACTCCGACGCTTGTAGATGGATCGCTGGGATGGAGATCTACTTCGCAGCCGTCGGATGGAGCTCGCCAGTCTGGGACAGTCAACGCGTACAACTCGCGGCAACACTGATGCGAGGGCCGGCACTCGAGTGGATTGGCGGCAACAATACCTTCATCCACGCTGAAGCCACGTGGCAGCAGTTCCGCGCCAACCTGCCGAAACGATTCGAGCCGATAAATTCGAGTTTCCTTGCCCGGAAAAAATTCATCGTCATTGACAGTTCGGGAGTGTAGCGCAGTACACGCAGCAGATGGAGGAAATTTAAAACCGAATTACCGACCTGACCGAAGGGGAAAAAGTACAGTCGTACCTCGCCGTGCTGAAGACCAAAGTCAAACGACAAGTGGCAGAGACAAACTACGCGAGCTACAGTGACGTCGTATCGGCCGCGGAGCGCTTTGACATGGTCAACGCCGGGACACGACGGACGCACGTCGGCAGTACGCGACAGGGCGACCGCTCGGCTCACCCCACGTTCGCCGACCCGATGGAAGTCTACAGGTTCGAGGGGCGGCCACGTCCGAAAACCACCAAGTACACGTGTGATTTTTGCGGGGTGCCAGGTCATCGAATCTTCGACTGCAACAAAATCAAAACTACACGCGCAGAGTATCGGGCACGCAACAGTGGCAGAATTCCTTCGGCCAATCAGAAGACAAAAAACGGGAGTCGCCAATGATTGCGGATCTAGCTGGCGAAGATAAAAAGATCCGGAAGCAGCCGCGGGATTCCGGAAAAATCAACTTCAACGGAGCCGATTCGACACGAGAAGGAGGAAATGATGGGGGAAAATCTCCACCCCACGACCAGTCTTTGCCAGGGAAAATCGCCGAGAAAAAATCCGACTCCGCGAAAAAAGACTCAGCCGAGACAGGGAAACTCCTTGAAGACCCAAGAAATTATAAGGATTCTTTAAAGCTATCCTATAAAGATGAGTTAATGAAAACTTATGATTCTCGAGGGGCTAGAGCCTTGGAGAAAATTCGGGAAGGACTCCAAAAGAAGCAGACAGCTGTGGAGATTATACCGGTACCGGACAACTTGGGGGAAAAATTAAGGAGTGTGGAAAGAAGCCGACCTTTCCACGGAGTCAACATCCTCTCCCGACACCAGCCCACAACGACCACCCGTTCCCCAGGGAAAACGTCGGTGGAGCTGAAGCAGCTCAAGAGGAAGCTGGGTTTCTACAAGAAACTGCAAAAACCCCGAAATTCCTCGTCTCCGTATGCACCTAGTTCAGCAACTTCACCATCAACGGCGCGCACTGTCGTCAAGAAAACTCCGGGCCCTGGAGAAGAGCCGTTCTCCAAACAACCTTGGCCAGCTGCCAGCTCAGGAGTAGGAAGCAACGAATATTGGGATGTACCCTATGATTATATCAATGAAACTATCTTTGGGTACTCCGAGCAACGCCTGCCCCTCGTGCTTGAGGTCATCTGCAAAGGACGACGCCTCCAAGCACCCCGTGGATAGCGGAGCATCGCACACCGTCTGCGACAAGGCAGTAATCGACCGACTTCGGGAAGAGTACAAGCCTTCAGGATTCTCTGCAACGATGGTGGACGGCAGCAAGTTACCAGTGTACGGCGAAGCAGTGCTACACCTACAAATTGGACCACTACGCTGGAGACCTGCACTCCCCATCACCAACATCAAAGGGCTTGACTTGATCTTCGGGCGAGACTTCTTAAAAAGAATCAACCCGGAGATCAACTGGGTGAATCGCACCGCAAGCATCTACAACAATGGACGGAGAGTACAGCTACCCAACTGGGAAGATACAGGAGATATCCCAGTGGAGACACTCGCACGATTCGAGAAGGACGTGAAGCAAACCGAGACCGGGTTCCTGGCGATAGCAACAGAGGTGGAGAACGACGGAGAGAAGACCTCGGAACCTCCGGAAAAAATCAAGGAATTGCTGAAGGAATTCGAAGACATTCTCCCTGACGATCTTCCAAACGAGCTACCGCCATACCGAACGCACCAACACGAGATCGTGGAGGAACCGGGTTCGAAGCCGTCCTTCCGAGCACCATATCGGCTCAGCCCTACGGAGCTAACCGACATGAAAAAACAGATCGAGTATCTCCTAGCCAAAGGATTCATCCGACCATCCACTTCGCCATAAGGTGCCCCAGTACTCTTCACACCGAAACCGGACGGAAGCCTGCGCATGTGCATCGACTACCGAGCTCTTAACATGCAGACAATCAAGAATAAATACCCGATACCGCGAATCGATGACCTGCTTGACCAGCTTCGGGGAGCTATGGTATTTTCCAAACTGGATCTGCGGTCCGGATACTGGCAGATACGGATGGCGGACAACTCTATCCACAAAACTGCTTTCCGAACTCGGTACGGATCGTACGAGTATTTGGTAATGCCGTTCGGACTCACCAACGCACCAGCAACGTTTCAAGCTGAAATGAACCACATTCTACAACCACTTTTGGACGTGTACGTGGTGGTGTACCTGGACGACATCCTCATCTACTCGTGCGACATGAAGCAGCACGTCAAACACCTGCGACGCGTCTTCGAAATTCTTCGACGAGAACGATTCTACGTCAAACAGTCCAAGAGCGAACTCGCCCTTGAGAAGGTCCAGTTCCTAGGACACATGGTGAGCGCTCAAGGAGTTCACGTCGACCCCAAGAAAATCGAAGCCGTACGTACGTGGAAGACACCCGAGAACGTGAAGGAGTTGCAGCAGTTCCTAGGCTTCGCGAATTATTAGAACAGGTTCGTGCCACAGTATGCGAAACTCGCGGCACCACTCATGAATCTGCTGAAGAAGAACACGCCCTACAAATAAGAATCGAAGCACTAGGAAGTCGTGGAGCAGCTGAAACAAACACTCACGACCGCCCTGGTACTCATCTTGCCAGATCCCGAACGCAACTACGTAATCGAAGCTGACGCCAGCGACCAGGCAGTGGGAGCAGTCTTAATGCAAGACCAGGGGAATGGACTGCAACCAATTGCCTACCTCAGCAAGAAACTACATGGAGCAGAACTAAACTACCCGATACACGACAAAGAGGACCTTGCCATCGTCATCGCCTTCAAAGCATGGAGATGTTATCTCGAAGGACGACGAACAACCGTCTACACCGACCACTGCAGCCTGAAATACTTGAAGACACAACCCAACCTTTCCACGCGGCAGGTCCGATGGATCGACTTCCTCGAGACACACTTCCACTACGACATCGTGTACAAGCCCGGCCACAAAAACAAAGCAGACGCCCTCAGCCGGCCTGCACACGTTGCCGCTATCCAGATTGAAGGGATGAATCCACTCCTTAAGGGACTCTTCATACACGGGTATCCCATCGACCCAGAAATTCCCTTGGCTGAAAAGCGACATTTGCTACAGTGGGACAGTGACATCGCATACCGAAAGGGATCAACGAAAATCTGGGTACCCAATTACCCTCCTTTGCGCCAGTTACTACTCGAAGAATATCACGACGTCCTCTACGCGGGACACTGCGGTAGCAACAAGACGCTCACCGGTATCGCCAAACACTACTACTGGCCCCACATAGCAGATGACATACAGAAATTTGTCACCTCGTGTGATACGTGTCAGCGGATGAAGAGCAGCAAGCAGAAAAAGGCGGGACTACTGCAGCCTCTTCCTGTCCCAGAACAACCATGGCAAGTGGTTAGCATAGACTTTATCACCGGGTTACCACCTACCACCAGTGGTCATGACGCAATCCTTGTCGTCATCGACAAGTTCTCCAAAATGGGACACTTCATCCCGACACACACGACGGCACGCACCGAGGAGACAGCACAGCTCTTCGTTCGTCACATCATCTCACAGCATGGCATCCCAACCACACTCATCTCCGACCGAGACCCCAAGTTCACCAGCAAGTTCTGGAGGGAACTTATGTCTCTTCTCGGGACCAAACTTGCCATGTCACCCGCTTACCATCCGCAGACAGACGGACAGACCGAGCGCCTCAACCAAATTGTTGAACATCTCCTCCGAGCAGCCTGCAAGGACGAGATCTCCAAATGGGACCTGCACCTGCCCGTTCTGGAGTTTGCTTACAACAACGCTACACATGCTGCTACTGGACAGACGCCGTTCTTCCTCTGCTACGGACGCCACCCACTCACACCACAAAAACCGCCCACATCCGCTACAGTACAACCTGCACATGATTTCATCACAACCATGCATCAGCTTTGGGATCGGACCCACAAGCGCCTCCTCGAATTTTAGCAGCAACAAAAGCGCCAGGCCGATCGCCATCGCAACGACCACACCATCACGGTGGGAGACCAGGTGCTTCTTGACACCCGCAACCTGGACATCAGCCACCTCCCGTCTAAACTGCGACCTCGCTTCTGCGGGCCTTTTCTCGTCGAAGCGCATTTTACTCCTGTTACCTTCTGCTTGCGTCTGCCAGCCACCTGGAAGATTCACAACGCCTTCCATGTCCAACTTCTAAAGCCCTATCGAGATCCGAACACAATCTTCGTCGGACGCCAACCGCCGCCGCCGCCACCCGTCCTCGTTCAGAATGAACCCGAGTACGAGGTCGAGTCTGTGCTTGCACACCGTCGACGTCGGAATGGCACCATGGAGCTTCTCATCCGTTGGAAGGGTTATGATCCTTCTGAGGACAGCTGGGTCCCTGATTCCGACATGGGTAACGCCCGTCATCCTCTGCATGACTACCTTGTCAAGCAGGGTGTTACTTCTACCACCCAGCTTTGAGGGGGGGAAGTGTGAGAGTACGACCCCGTTACACCACTTGTCCCTTTTCTTATTTCCTTTCTCTTTCATTTCTCTTTTTATCTCATCTCATTTGGTTTCCTATTCTCCATTTTCCATTAACCTGCGTATAGCCACGCGAGCCTCGCGTATATCTCATCTCATTTGGTTTCCTATTCTCCATTTTCCATTAACCTGCGTATAGCCACGCGAGCCTCGCGTATAATTATATCACCGACCAAATCACCCTGCGTATAGCCACGCGAGGCTATTGGCTTTAAGGGATTACGGCAGGATTACGCTAGATATAGTGCACCAGTACATCCCAAGCTTGGTCGGTGATATAATTATAGTAGCAGGATAAACCAAAGGTTAATGGAAAATGGAGAATAGGAAATCCAATGAGATGGGATAAAAAGAGAAATGAAAGAGGAAGGAAATAAGAAAAGGGACAAGTGGTGTAACGGGGTCGTACTCTCACAATGATGACGGACTCGGTGCTGCGGTTTGATGCGGAAGGGCAGCCGATTGAGTTGGACTCGTTGTTCATCGACCTCCAACAACACCTGACTGTTGTCATTCCCTTCCCCTGTCTGAGCGCCCCCGCTTTAGGCCGGTCAGGACTGCGCAGGAGTTCCTAGAGGCTGTAGTTGCGCGCTATTCCACCTTGCACTCAGCCTCCGTAGGTCCCCTGATCCTGCCCATGCTCTTTCCTGACCTTGCGTCTTTCCCCACTGTCGCTGATCTAGCCGCCCACCTGCGCACGCTAGACACGACCTGGCACGCTGCATGCACTGAGGCCTAGCTTCGTGCGTTTCAGCCCCCCATCTGCTCGACCCTCTACCTACTTTCCACCCGCCTCCCTGACCACCTTGCCACTGCACGCGATCACTTCCTTTGTCTCCACCCCGCTGACCTCACCCTCACTGACTATGTTGACACCCTATCTGCCGTAGAGACTCGTCAGCGCTCTATCCCCCGGTCTAGCGGTACCGTGCCGGTCTCTATCTTTCAAGGCTGTGCCCCTACTCAGTGCGCTTACTCCGACGGTTCTGCTGTGGTTGCTGAGATAGCTCTGGCTGCGGAGACAGCCACCGCAGTGCAATTTTGTCCGGGTAAGGGTCGCCGTCCCAAGGCTGGGCGCGGCGGAGGTAGCGGAGGAGGGGGTGGTGCCAGTGGTGGAGGTGGCTCGCCCGTTGGTAGTACTGACGAGGGGGCTGGGGCTGGTGCCTCGGAGCAGCAGTCCTAGTAGCAGCAGCAGCGGGTGCTATCGCTAGACCAGTAGCAGTAGCAGCCGCAGCGGCGTGTCGGTCGACTCCCCCTTAGCTGGCCTGGAGCTAGAGGTGACGGTGGTCGCACTGGTTGCTCGCGCGGTGTGCCATTGGGTGGTAGTCAGAGTGTCGGGCGCTGCTAGTACCAGCTCCACACCGGTCCTCGCCCCGGCCTCATGTGCGGTAAGATCGGCCATACCCCCACTCGTTGCTTTCGTCGCTTAGACGACATGTTTCGTCTCGTCGCCTGACCTCCCCGACTGGCACTGTCTGCTCTGTCGTGGTGTTACGATCTTTGATACGGACATGGATGAGATTAGCTCTGCTTTGTATGTACTGTATGTTGATGACTCTAGTGTGACTGGTTCCTATTACCCTATGTTGTATAGCGTAGGTGTGCCCAGTTTGCCTAGTTCAGGCTCCTCTGCTGCGCCAGGCGTAGGATCTCCTACCTTGTTTAGCATTGGGTCCTCCCTTGCTTTTCCGACCTTCGTCGCCAGTGCCGCGCTCTCCTTTACCCTTGACTCCGGTGCTTCCCGCTGTTTCTTTCGCGACTCCACTACGCTTACGCTGCTTGCCGCTCCTGCTGCAGTTGCTCTTGCAGACCCTTCCTCCGGTCCTGTAGTTGCCCGTAGCTCCACTACTCTACCCTGTCTGGCGGTTCCCTCAGCCTCCCGTACAGGCCTGCACATCCCCTCGTTCTCTAGGAACCTAGTTGGTGTCGGCCGCCTCTAGGACCTTGGCGTCACCACTACATTCCCTGGGCACGAGTGGTACGCTGTTTGTACCGAGTCCGCCACTGGTGCCGCCCTCACCACGTTCCCCCGGGACCCGGTGTCTGGTCTGTTCACGCTAGACACCGTGTCCCCCCCGGTTGGGACACCTCCCCAGGTACCAGCGACTTCCCAGGTTGCAGCAGCGTGCTCGTGCCGGTCGCTTACTCACCCGTCGCTTTTGTGGCACCACCGTCTAGTTCACCCCGTCCTCACCCATCTCCGTCACATGTCCCAGCACCGTCTTGTCCTAGGCCTCCCTGAGTCGTTCCCCAGCAGCAGCAGCCGTAGCAGCAGCCGCCACAGCAGCAGCAGCCGCAGCGGCGTGTCGGTTGACTCCCCTCCGGGTGGCCTGGAGCTAGAGGTGACGGTGGTCGCAGTGGTTGCTCGCGCGGCGTGCCATTGGGTGGTAGTCAGAATGACGGGCGCTGCGAGTACCAGCTCCAGACGGACATGGGTCGCGTCGCGAGCGCTACTTTCTATTGCTTGTCGACAACTACAGACACTACACCACTATCTTTCCCCTACAGCGGAAGGCCGACGTGCCTGGCGTTCTTCTACCGTGGCTTGCTTCTGCGCGTGTGCACCAAGATCTCCCTGTCTTGCGTCTTCACTCTGACCGTGGTGGCGAGCTCGCCTTGGTCGCTTCTGTCGTGCGGAGGGCATCACCCAGACGTTCACCCTACTGGACTCCCTGCAGCAGAATGGGGTCGCTGAGCGACGCATCGGTTTGGTCATGGAAGTTGCTCGTACCTCCATGATCCATGCCGGTGCACCCCATTTTCTGTGGCCGTTTGCCGTTCGCTATGCCGCTCACCAGCTTACCCTGTGGCCGCACCCTCAGCGGTCGCAGGTTTCACCGACCCTCCTCTAGACCGGGCCTCCTGGTGACGCGTCTGCGTTCCACGTCTAGGGCTGCCTTGCTCACGTTCGTGCCTCTGGCAAGGAAAAGCTTACTGCCAGCACCGTCCCCTGTGTCTTCCTAGGTTTCCCCCTCAACTCGTCTGACTGGCAGTTTTACCACCCGCCTCCTTACCGTTTCTTTCACTCTCGCGACGTCACTTTTGACGATTCTGTCTCCTTCTACCACCGCTTTCCCCACCGTGGTTCCCCGGTCACTCCCCCCCCATTTCCTGGTGCTCCCCCCTCCCCCAGTCGACCTTGTTCCCCCCCCTCCCTGCCCTGCACCGTCTAGTGTGTCTCACGCCACCTCCCTCCCGTCAGTTGTCCCTGCCGAGGAGTCCCCTGACTCTCGTGGCTCGGCGGAGTCTCTTCCCCCGCCTGTCCCTGCCCCGGTCTCCCCTCCCTTGTCACAGTCGTTGCCGTCCCAGCCGCAGCCGCCTCCGCCGCTGCCGCCGCAGCCGCAGCCGCCATCATCACCACCGCTGGGGTTCATGCATTCGGGGGGTGCTGGGGAGCGGGTTGGAGCTGGTTGTGGAGCGGGCTTCTCGTAGGGTGGCGTGTTGTCGTTGGAGGTTCCGGTGTTGGAGTCAGGCAGCATTCGCAGCCGTCGCCGCCGGTGTCCGATCTTCGCCTCCTCGGTCTCTCTTCCCCTGACCGCCCGTCGGTGCCTCCCCCGCTGCTGCCGCCTCCTCCTCTGCCTGTCCACGGCCCCGTGTTTCCTCCCCCGGACTCCTCTCCAGCTCATTTCCCTTCCCGTTCTCCTCCTGTGTCTCCTGCCCTCTCTCCTGACCCGACTCCTCCGTCTCACATCTGGTCTCGTCGTTCGTCTCGTGCTCGTCCTCCCTCCCCTGTTCCGCATTCTCACCCTATGTTTTTTCGCTCTCACGTATCTCGTGCTCCTCCTCTCCTCCCGTCTCCCTCCCCGTCATCACTAGCTGTGGCCTCGCCTCCGTTCCCGGACTTCCTCCGTGCTGCGCGTCCCCTTATTCCTTGTGTCCTTGCCTCCCTCGTTACCGACCCGTCTGTTCCTGTTTCGAGTCTGTCGGCCCTTGTCACTGCAGTCACTGACTTTGCCGCTACCCGCCGCCTGGACTACGCCACTACTCTGGTCTCTGACCCTGCCTGCCCTCCGGCCGTCGGGGGTGTGGCTGCTCTTGGCAGTGACGACCTGGAGGATACGCAGTTCGAGCTCGCTTTCCTGTCTGAGGCTGCTCCCCATCCCAGTTCCATGCTACTAGTCCCTGAGGGGGACCTAGACGCCCTCAACAACCCAACCCCTCGCACCTACGCTGAGGCCACCTTGGGACCCTGGGCCTCTCAGTGGATAGCTGCCATGGAGCAGGAGATGGCATCTTGGAGATCCACCGGTACCTTCATCGACGCAGTTCTCCCACCTGGGGTGAATGTAGTCGATCGCTAGTGGCTCTTCAAGGTGAAGCGCCATCCTAGAGAGCCACCTGTCTTCAAGGCACGTTACGTTGCTCGAGGCTTCTGTCAGCGTAAGGGGGTGGACTTCTTTCAGACCTTCGCCCCAACCCCAAAGATGACTACTCTTCGAGCACTACTACACGTAGCAGCACAGCGTGACTACGAGCTGCACTCCCTTGACATCTCCACAGCTTTCCTCCAGGGCAGTCTTTACGAGCAGGTCTACCTGCGCCGCCCCCAGGGCTTCTCCTGTACCTTCCCTCCTGGCACCGAGTGGCTCCTCTGGCGCCCCGTCTACGACTTGCGCCAGGCGCCCCGTGAGTGGCACAGCACGCTGCGTGCTACACTTGCTGACTTGCAGTTCTTCCCTTCGTCTGCAGACCCCTCGCTCTTCGTCCATTTCGGCCAGACTCCATTCTACATCCTTGTCTCCGTAGATGACTTGGTCTTTGCTACTGCAGACAGAGACATGCTGGCCTCAGTGAAGGCCGAGCTGCTGAGGAGACACACTTGCACTGACCTAGGAGAGCTGCGCCGTTACCTTGGCTTACAGATCTCCTGGGACAGAGCAGCGCGCAGCATCACTCTCTCACAGTCACACT